CAAGTAAATTAAAAATCTGAGGAGCCAGAGAGGAGAGAGCCCATTTCCAGGGTGTGTCACCTGAGAACCTCAGCTGCCAAGTCACCTCAGCTCAGCAGCTCCTGTGTTGAGCATCTGCCCCCTGGTGGTCATTGCATGTCATAGCTATCAGTCAAAAAGTCAAAATAGTCAGATGGTCGCTTAGACTTTTATATATATACTACAAAAGGTTATATGCCACCAAATTCAATAACCTAGAAGAAATGGACAAATTCTATAAAATATATAGCCGCCCTAGACAGAATCACGAGGTACTGGAAAACCTAAATAGACCAATCATTGGTAACAAAATTGAAACACTAAAAAAACACACACAACACCTCCCCAAAAAAACAAAAGCCCAGGTCCAGATGGCTTTTCTACCCTAACTCTCAGCAAATATTTAATATCCTCCTCTAATTATTAAAAAAAAAAAAATTGAAGATGAGGAGAAACTTCCTAACTCATTTTATGAGGCCAATGTAACCCTGATACCAAAATCAGGCAAGGACAACACAAAAAAAGAAAACTACAGGCCAATATCTCTGATGAGCATAGATGTAAAAATCCTAACCAAATCCTAGCAAGTCAAACAAAACATTAAAAAGATCATATACATTATGATCAAGGATGGTTCAACACATGCAAATCAATCAATGCAGTAACACACTAAATTTACAAAATAAGTCATATTATCATATTAATAAATGTAGACAAAGCATTTGACACGCTCCAACATCCATTAATGATTAAAACACTTAATAAAATGGTACAGAAGTACCTCTCATAATAGAGACCAGTTCTGACAAATCCTCAGCCAATATCACACTCAATGATGGAAACTGAGAAAAGACAGCTTTTCTTCTAAGATAAGGAACAAGGAAAAGATGCCTCACCATTGTTATTCAACATGGTCTTGGAAATCCTAGCCAATGCAGATAAGCAAGAAAAATAAAAGGCATCCAAACTGGGAAGTAAAACTATCCTTATTTGTAGATGGCATAATACTATATAGAAAACCTTAAAGATGTCACAAGATTATTGGGGGGGAAATAGTCAAGTTGCAAGATAATAAATCAATACATATGTGAACATCTGATTTATGACAGAGGGCATTACAGAGAGGAGAAGATGTGCTTCTCAATATGTAGGATTTGAACACTTGGTTATCCATTTGGGGGAAAATAAAGGGAACTGAATAGTGCATACACATCACTTTCTGGTGGGTTAGACTGTGGGCATGTAGATAATGTAGAAAAGTATTTTTATGACAACAGGGTAGAAAAGGATTTATCAAGACACAAAATACCAACCATTGAAGAAAATATCTGATTAAGTCTGATTGCAGAAAAATTAAGAATGACTATCAAAAGACATATTAAGTAGAATGATAAACTACAACAGAGAACTTTTTGCAACATATTTATTCTACAAATGATTAGAACCCAGGACACATAAAGAACCCATATGAATAAATAAGAAAAATACAAACTCAATGGAAATAGGGCAAAAGAGACCAGCTGCTGTGGTTCAGTGGTTGAGCTCTGACCCAGGACCAAGAGATCACTGGTTTGATTCCCGGTCAGGGCACATGATCAGGTTGCTGGTTTGGTGCAGGAGGCAGCCTATCAGTGATATTTCTCTATCACTGATGTTTCTATCATACTACACCTCTCCCTTCTCTAAAAAATTAATAAAATCATAATAAAAAATTTTAAAAGACAAAAGATATAACAGAAGAGAAAATATGAATTACCTAGCAACACATAAAAAGACACTCAATCTCATTAGTAAACAGTAAAATGCAAATTGAGGAAAAAAGAACCTTGACCAGAAGGTCATACCTTATACAAAAATTAATTCCAAATGGATCACAGACTTCAATGTTAAACAAATCTATAAAGTTTAGAAAACATAGGAGATAATCTTCAGCATCTAGCAGGAGGCAGATTCTGAGCCATGTCATCAAAAGCATAATCAATAAGAGGAAATAGGACTTTATAAGAGGAAATAGGACTTTATCTGTAAATCTGTAAATAGGACTTTATCAAAATTAAAAATGTTTGCTCTGTAAAATGTCCTGTTTAGAGGATGAAAAAAAAAGCTATTTGTAAACCAAAACCCTAAAAAAGGATTAGTATTTAGAATATATATTAAGAACTCTGAACACTCAACAGCAGCCTGGCCAGTGTCACTCAGTGGTTGGGCACCAACCTATTAATAAGGAGGTCACAGTTCAACTTCCAGTCAGGGCGCACAGGAGGGAGTCAATCAATGATTCTCTTGTGTCACTGATGTTTCTATTTCTCTCTCCTTCTCCCTTCCTCTCTGAAATAAATGAAAATATATTTAAAAAAAAACAAAACTCATGGGGGAGAGGCGGGAATGGGGGAATAAGGACACATATGTAACACCTTAATCAATAAATTAAAAAAATGACTAAACATTAAAAAAAGTTAAACAATCCAATTAGAAAATTGGCAAAAGACATGAACAGATATTTCATGGAGTGAATAAGCATATGAAAAGATACACATTAGCCACTGTGTGAAAACCACAATGAGATGTCACAACACCTACCAGAATGGCCAAAATGAAAGTGACAACACGAAATGCTGGCAGGATTCAGAGAAACTGGGTCACACACGTTGTTGGTGGAGATGTAAAATGGTGCAGCCGCTCTGGAAGTTTATCCATTTGAAAAACCAAAACGTGCAATAACCATATAATCTAGCGATTGCACTTCTGGTCATTTCTTTCAAAGAACCCAACATTTACACAGAACCCTGTGAAGAATGTTCATAGCAGCTTTATTTGGGATAGCCAAGGATTGGAAACCACCTCCACGTCCTTAACTAGGAGGAGCATACATGGAAAACCACGCAACCACCAACAGGGACGCACTGTGGACCCCACAACCACCGGGAGATATCCAGAGTCTATGCCGAGAAAACCCAACCCCAGGTGGTTACATGTTACTCAACCCCATTTATACATTCTTGAAATGACAGAACTGGCGAGCTGACAAACAGATCAAGGGTTGCCAGGGATTGGGATGGCGGCTGGAAGTGGGGTGGGGCTATAAAAGGGTAGAGTGAGATGCTGATGGCAACCAGACGGTTGTGTCCAGGCTGTAGCAGTGGTCACACAAAGCTACACATGAGATGATATATAACTAACCATCCTACTGCCGTGTCCATTCCTGATTTGATACTGATTGTAACTAAGATGTAACCATTGAGGAAAGCAGGGTGAAGGGTACCTCTATCTTTGCAACTTCCTATGAATCTGTACATTCAAAATGGATAGAAAAAAAAAAGGTAATAGTTCTAAACTGATATCTGGAATGGATCCTGCAACTGAGAAAGGACATTAGAAAAAACTGGTAGAACCCATATTGTAAAGTGTGATTTAGTTATTCTTGTACCAGTGTTAACTTTTAGTTTTGATAAAGGTACTGAGGTGACGTAAGGTGTTAACATGAGGGAGCCAGATGAAGGGTACATGGAGCCCTTCTGTGAATCTAACGTTATTTCAAGACTGAAATCCTGATGTCAGACCCATCCCATCCCCCCGGTGGGCCCCAGTCTGAGAATGTCTGATTTTCCAGGTGGTGAACCCGGGGAAGAGGAGGCACAGCACAGCACAGCACAGCGAAGCCCTCCATGTCCTCAGCAGGCTCTGCAGACTGACATAAGCAGAGCTACTTCCGGGGCGTCTCACCGGCATTAGACACAGAATAATGAGACATCCTCAGGACCCGCTGCTTCCCACCTGGGGTTTTGCTCTTGGAGTGATTTCCTGGAGAACAGCTGTCATTCCTGTTGATCCCAGATAAGGACCCAAATTCCTTTGAGAAAGGTTCCAGAAACCTCCGTCCCCCCTGCCCTCTCTAAGATCCAGGTCCCCGTGATGCCGCTTCTACGCAGCTGGAGAGCTGTGGGCGGTTAACAGAGGGAAACGGGAAGGAAAAAGACAAAAAACAAAAAAAGAATCTTGTTGCTCCCGATTCTCCTAAAACCCCATAGCCAGGGATAGGAAACAGGCAAACGCTTGAAATGCTTCAGAGACAGAAATCTCTTCTTTTTCTAAAAGAAAGGTGGCGGTGATGCACCTGGCCCCCATTCGACTCCCACTCCCTCACTGCTCGCCAGGCACTCACAGCCACACAACCGGGAAGCCGAGGAGGGAGGCGTGAAATTGGTCTCGTTCTGGTTCCTGTTCCGGGATCTGACCATGCAGACAGGACTGGGTGCACAGAGCCCTCCTCTCACAGCACCTCTCCTTAACACAGAACGTGGCCTGAGGGGGGAGGACGGGCTGGCAGGAAGCTGCTCCGTGGCTGGGCTCGCCCGTCCCCCAGGCAGATGTGTGGCGGGAAGCGCAGGCCGTCCTGTCCCAGGGCCTGCAACTCTGCCGGGTCAGCCAGCCACCTCCACAGGAGGGGCAGGACTGGTGGCACAGGCTTGTGAGGAACTGAACTCCAGGTTTGGCACAAAGGGCAGGCTGAGGCGTGCTGAGACATGGCACTGTCAGGGAGGCGTCCAAGTTGCCATGACAAGGCCATGGATTTGAACCCCCAGCCGTAACTGGCGCCGTGGTTTGCTCAGAAAGTGCTGCCAGCAGCAGCAGTTGGCAGAGAAGCAGAGCGAGTACAGGCCACGGCCACAGAAAGGCCGTGATCGTGCACTCACGTCATGGCATGGCCCAGGAGGGGCAGGCCCTGCACCGCCACAGGGCGCAGGCTGGCCCCGACCAGGGCGATGGCGGTGTCCTTCCATCCCGGGAAGCAGGCCTGGAGGGCTTTGCCCGCTGACCCCTATTTCCTGGAGGAGGCAGGCCCTCCGAGGCTCCGGACGGCGTCTGAAGGGCCATCTAAAACGTGGCCGAGGGGAGGACGGGCTGGCAGGAAGCCACTCCACTGGGCTCTCTGCACTCCCCACGTGCTGGCCTACTCCCCAGACCCGGCTGCCTGCAAGCAGTTACACTCCGGGGTTCCGCCCGGGGCTCTCCTCTGCTGAGAGGCTGGGCCCGCCGTGGTTGGACCCTAGGAGAGAGAGGGGAGAATTACTACCTGACGGAAAGTGGGAGCATCCTCTTGGGGAAGGAAGGGGCAGGGCAGGCAGAGGCCTGACTCCGCCTCACAGACACCGCGTAGGGGACACGGTCATCACTGAGGCAGGGAAGCAGGGCTGGTGTGGCCGCGGAGGCCGAGGCCGTATGCTGGGCAAGGGGAGCCTGCCCTGGCAGGGGCTTTAGCCTCCAAGGCTGGGCGGGGTCCATGAGTCAGGTCTTCCAGAGAAATGAAGTGAGAAGCAGCAGGAGGGACGGGAGGGCCCGCACCCGGGAGGAAGGCCCCCAGGCAGGGAAGCAGTCTCGGAGCTCCCCCAGCAGACCTGGGAAAGCAAAGCAAAGCCAAAGGAAAGGGAAGGTATTTACCTTGGGCGTTTTCTTAAAACAAAAAATGCTCACTAATCCAGGCAATTATCAACTGCAGTTTCCAAAAGTGCCAAAGAGGGGAAGGTCTACTGGGCAGGCTGGAGAGAGGAGAGAGGAGAGAGGAGAGAGGAGAGAGGAGAGAGAGAGAGAGAGAGAGAGAGAGAGAGAGAGAGAGAGAGAAGACAGCTATTGAGCCGAACCCGCAGGCCTCCACCCGCACACCGAGGCCTCGGGCACCCGCTGGGCAGGGCCCAGGCAGGGGCATGCACTCTGCCTCAGGCTGCTCGGAACAGAGGGTCAGGGAACAGGTCTTCATGAACTTTCCCCCGAAAGTCCCGTTCTGTGAGTGCTGCACGTGGAGGAGTTACTCCAAAGTGAAATGCAGGTCAGGGGTCAGAAAACTATTTCTGTAAAAGGTTAGTTCTGCCCTAGCCGGTCTGGCTCTGTGGATAGAGCGTCAGCCTTGGACTGACGGGTCTTTGGGTTCGATTCTGGTCAAGGGCACAAGCTTAGGTTGCGGGCTCGATTCCCCAATAGGGGGCGTGCAGGAGGCAGCTGATCAATGATTCTTATTGCTGATGTTTCTCTGTCCCTTACTCCCTCTCTGAAATCAATTAAAAAAAAAAAAAAAAAAAAATATATATATATATATATATATATATATATATATATATATATATATATATAAAAGGTCAGTACTTTCAGGTTTTGCAGGTCACATGGCCTCTGTGACAATTTGACTTCACTATTGTAGCTCAAAGGCTGCCACATACAATCTGTGAACAAGCAGGTAGATCCCAGTAAAACTTTATTTATGCCCTGGCCAGTGTGGCTCAGTTAGTTGAGCATTGTCTCGTGCACCAAAAGGTTGCCAGTTCAATTCCTGATCAGGGTACATGCCTGGAATGTAGGGGGCATGCGAAGGCAGCCAATCATTGTTTTTCTTTCTCTTTCTCAAAAATTACTAAGAACATATTTAAAAAACAAAACTCAACTATTTACAAGAACGGGCCAATGGCCAGAACCAATCCTTGATCCACTGCTGTATCGGAGTCAAAAACAAAAAAGGAAGGAAAAAGACAAAAAACAAAAAAAGAATCTTGTTGCTCCCGATTCTCTGGGAGTGGCCTGGCTGCAGCCGGAAGCAGCGCTCCTGACACCTCCATGCGGAGTGACAGCCCTCCAGGAGGCAGAGACGCAGCGAGGGGCCAGAAACCAAGGCCAGGAGCGGAAAGACAGCAGGTGAGCCTCACGGGCAAAGGTCAGCCGCACTTCGGAGAACAGCCCCAACATGACTGCAGAGCAGGAGGCAATCTGTTACAAAGGGGCATGACGCGCAGGCTCACTATCAATCAGTCCCTTAGGGGACTGACCTATGAGCAGCAGAAGCCAAAAAAGGGCTTAAACCCTGGGAATCGGGTAAAAGATGAAATGAAGAGAAAACCATCCTTCTGAGACATAAGTCTGTACTCTGAACATGACACGCGCAGGCTGAGCTGCAGATGGGGCCGGGAAAGGCTCTACACGAGAAAACCGAAGGCTCTGAGGCCCACGGCTAGGACAAACAAGGAGACGTCACAGAATCGACGACCTCACCGGACGCAGGGCAGAGGCCCGTGTGTGCCCCAGCGGCGGCGGCGTTGCGTTTGGGAGGGGCCCTGGGCAGCCCCCCGGGGTCCCCTTTCCCAACACCCAGTGTGGGGGTGGGGACACTGGCTATCCCTTGCACCTGTATCCCCTCTCAGAGAGCATTTTTGTGCTGTAAGAACATCGTGTGCTCAGCATGGGCCTGAGCAGGCACCGCTGTTCTCCGTGAGGCACCACAGCAGGGACAAGGGCACACATGGGCTGCACGCCAGAGGGCTGGAGTCCGTCTCTGCCCCAAATCTTCATCTGGAAAGTGAGCATCACCCCCCGCCCAGCCTCAGGGACGGCCTCAGAGTCAGAGCTCCGTGCCCATGAGCTCAGCCCCCCTGCGGCCTTCCCGCCCACAGCCTCGGCACCTCTCCGACCCCAACCCAGGAGGAGCTCCGAGTAAAGGAACCTCCTGACTAACGAGGGCAAGAAGGTTCCCAGACGCTGCCACCTCCCACACCCCTCCCGGAAGCCCTCCTCACACTGGAGGGTGGGGTTTGCCATCTCCCATCACAAGCTTCTCCTAGCACAGGCCTCGGGCCCTTATGGCTGGATGTGCCCACCAACCACCGCCTTCAGAGCCAGGCCCACTGGGACCCAACCTCACTTTCTGGGGGACCTAACCCTAATCCTAAATGACCACGTCTGGACGTGATCTCATTCCCTAAGTCAACCACCCAACAGGCTCTCAAGAGAAAACGTTGCCTTCACGTGGAGTGCTGCACGTGGAGGAGTTACTCCAAAGTGAAATGCAGGTTATGGGTCAGAAAACTATTTCTGTAAAAGTGCCTGCTGGTGGACAGAACTCGGGGTCGTCCGGAGGAAGGGGAGGAGGGAGAATGCAGGGCAGAGAGAGCCCGTGTGTGTGCAGGCAGCGCGGCCCCGGAGGGCACGGGCCTTCCGAGCCGACACGCGGAGGGGCCTCGGGCTCACCTGCTGCCGCGGCTGTCCTGTCACCGAGGAGCCGGGTCCGGCTGCCCGGGATGACCTGGAGGTCCGCGCTCTCGGGGGACGGTGGCAGGTGCTGGGCTCGGCTGGCCAGGAGTGCATTGAGGTACTGGAGCCGCGTGACCTGGAGGAAGAACACATTTCGGAGCAGGTGAAGCGCCCGCTCACACCACCCCCTCCTGCCCACAAGCACGTGAACCCCGTGGGCGTCACTCTGGGCGGGATGAGGAGAAGGAAGAACCACAGGCTAGCTAAGGACAATCGAGCAAAGTGTCCTTAAGATCAGAAGGAAACTGGGTGCCTAGGCCCAGAGGCGAGACCGATCAGCAGCCGTCGGAGGAGGCAGAGCCAATTCAAGGTTTGCTCTGGGACGTCTCAGACTGACTTCCTAGGAACTTACTCTCAGGTCACACAACCTGGTGACCAGGGGTCTAACTTTCGGGGACACAAAGCTGGTCAGAGGCCAGAGCCAATGAGAGTCCAAACCTTGATGAACTGCAGGTCAGAGAGGGCCCTCACGGTGTAGTCAGGACAGTACGTGGACGGGCGGGTGCCGTCGGCTGGCTCGGGCTCCGGGTCCTGGCAGAGGGCCTGGAGCGAGGACACCGGGGACTGGTGAGCTAGGGAGAGAACAAGCAGTCACGGGAGCCCGCTGGGAGCTGGCCGCCCACCGTGGTGGGGACAACTGCACAGCCGCGGAGCCCCCCACCGCACACCGGGGACCTCGGCCAGGAACTTGGGGAGATGGCAAACAGCTTCCTCCAGGGAGAGGTGTATAGGGGGAGGGAGCAGCCAAGACCAGCCCTGAAAACACGCTGCCCTTCCCGCACGCCCCTGAGGGCGGCAGCCCCGCAGGGGGAGAAGGGCAGATCCTGGTCCAGGGACCCCGCCACAGCAGAGGGAGAGCCTCAGCCAGCCCACCCTTCACCGGGGGGCGGGGGGAAGGGGGGCACAGCTTACCTGAAGACGGGGCTGTCAGGGCAGACAAGCCATAGTAGGTGAATGCCCCGTTCTCGAACCTCAGGCCCTCCTTCCCGATCTCCACCTCAACCCTGCCCTGGGAGGCGGAGAGAGACAGACGCACACACATTACGTCTCCTGCCGGAAGGAAGCACAAGCAGAAGCACCCACTCTGATTACGCAGGGGGGTACCTAGACGTGCCTCCCTCGCTCAGACCCGTCCCTGCTCTCCGACCGGGTGGGGGCCTGGCCGGGCTCCTGTTACCTGCAGGATGAGGATGAAGTAATCCACCGGCTGGCTGCGCTGGTACAGGTAATGGTGTGCAGCCAGGCGGTTGCTCTGGTCAAACCTCACCTCCTGGTTGACGCTGGGGTGCCTCAGCAGGTGCAACAGGACCTTCTCGGAGATTCGCAACGGGCTGAACACATCCACCTCTGCCCGCGGCAGAGAGAGAGAGTGTCCACTGGGCCCGAAGCGGCCAGCTAACCACCGACGCCTGCTGCCCACCTGCAATCTCCTGGCCGGCCCTCGAGCCGGGTCCCTCCCATCACAAGAGGACTCGCAGCCACACACACCACTGCCCAGGCTTCCTGGCGGAGGCCCGCACAGGTGGCCTCAGCCTGGCCCTGCTTCTGGATGTGTGGGGAGCGGAGCGGCCCCCTGGGGTGACCCGAGTGTCCAGAAGGGTGTCTGCTGCCAGGACAGCCAAGAGGAGCACAGAGCTGCTCCTGGACACTCTCCTGCTTACTGGGACTGGAAGGCAATGGCCCACTGGACGGGTAAGCATCCTCACCTCGGGAAAGGAAGCGCTGGGTGGCCAAGAGCAGCTGAGGCGAGATTTTCACTTTACACTCATTGTCAGACACCTTGAACAAGGAGAATTCCTCTTTCCGCCTGAGAGGGACACTGAGAGGGACACTGAGAGCAGCAGGCTTCTTCCTCACCGTGGTGTCTCCTGGGATGGCGAGCAGAAGGCAGCTTAGGCACCAGCAGCCCTCCTGCCAACATGCCTACCCAAGGGGCATGCTGCCTGCACCCCTCCTGTGGGCTCGGAGCCCCCAGGACACATCTTTGGGTGGTGCCCGGCTGTCAATCCCACAGTGACCCTGGTGCTCAGGACAGAGAGCCAGAGGCCCACACGCAGCCATTCCCCGAGAAAGGACCTCTCCTTGGAGCTGGGAGGAGATAATGCCGACAAGACAGAAAGAAGCTAAGTGACAGGCTCCTGTGGTCGTTAGAAGACCACTCGCCGGAAGCAGGCATTGGAGGATCTGATGCTACCCAGTGGCATCTAAGTGGTAGCTCTGAGCCTGGAGCAGCCCAGGAAACGAAACTAAAGGTGCTACAGGAAGGGACACATGGGCAAAGCAGTTCTCCTGACAGCACACACAGGTGGGAGCCCCGGCGCTGAGCATGGGCTCTATGCCCGTCCTGCAGACCTGTCACCATCCTAACAGGCAGGTGCTTCTAAGACACAAGCACGGGCCCAGGGACAGGTTTTGGGAGGACCCTCTTAGCAAAGAGCCGGTTCTCAGTAAAGAACAAGTTTGAGGAGACACTGTACAAACCACATGAGAAGCAAAAGGAGTGAGGAGGAATCTTGGAAACGCCCGTAAGGACAGAGGCCCCTCAGTGACGGGAGAACAAGCGGCGCCCCAAGCAGGTGCTGGAACTGCGAGGCCCCGGGTGGGTGGGTGGCCACATGGCTCCGCCCCCAGAGAGTGCTCTCCCATAAGGACAACACGGGTCCGCAGGGGAAGAACAGAGGGAACAGCTCCGACCAGAGACCCGACATCCCTCGAGCGGAAGCACACCCCTCAGAGCCCGAAGGCCACTGAGCCAAGAGCGGCCAGCAGGCGGGACTCACGGTAGTCCTCGGACTCGTCCAGGATCTCGGACTTGATGATCTCCTGAATGACGTCCTCCAGGGTGACCAGGCCCAGGACCTCGTAGAAGGGGTCACCTTCCCCCTCGTTGTTCACCTTCTGCACGATGGCCAGGTGGGACTTCCCTGGGGAGGGGAAGTGCCTGTGACAGGGAACCAGAGGCTCCCCGTTTCTGGGTCCCATCCTGCACAAGCCCACAGGACAGATACTGATGTTTGTGTCCCTAAGACCCACCAAGCACTGGGTGTGACTTTTCTGGGAGATATATATATATATATACACACACACACACACACACACACACACACACATTTTTATTGATTTCAGAGAGGAAGAGGGGAGAGAGACATGGAAACATCAATGATGAGGGAGAATCATTGATTGGCTGCCTCTTGCATGCTCCCAACTGGGGACAAGACTACAACCCCAGCATGTGTCCTTGACAGGAATGGAACCTGGTACCCTTTAGTCCACAAGCCAACAGTCTATCCACTGAGCCAAACCAGGTAGAGCTGGGATCTTAATGCTCACGAGGACTGGCCTCACCTCACACGGGAGGAACCTGAATCCGGACACTGCGCTCCCCAGCACAAGGCCCCCGAGCCAGAGTCAGCCCCGGCCCGTGTAGCTCCACGCCGTCAATGTGGCTCAGCTGTGGAGGCATCAGATAAACTGGGGACACAGGCACCAACTCCAGAAATGGAGGCTCCCCAGGACCGACTAAGTGGAGCGGAGAGAGGCCCCCGTCTGACCCTCTGAAGGCAGATTCCCCGGTTTTGAAAGCTGCCCTTGCTTTCCAAAGCCAAGGTCTAGGAAGGTCATCCAGGGGTCTGTGTGGGAACTTTCCCTTTCCTCTCTGTCTCTCTGTAACCTTCCTATTTGTTTAACAAGGAAATGTAAACTTGAAAAAAATCCCACACTTCCTGAGTATTGGGCTTGTTGGGAAAAGTCAGCTCACCCTGCTTAGTGAGTGCTCTTCATCTATAGAATTGTGCACACGCACAAGAGAAACACAATGCAAGTCACTCATGTGATTCTTAAGTTCTGATAGCTACATTAAAAAAAAAAAAAAAAAAAAAAAAAAAGACCCAGGTGAAATAAAAACTGGTAATCTATTGTTTTAAGTCAATATAGCTAAAATACCACTCTGACATGCAATCAATATAAACACATTAACAAATGTTTTACTTTTTGTGCGAGTCTTTGAAGTCTACTGTGTGTCTGCATTTATAGCACAGCTCGGTTCAGACTAGTTACCTCTCCACGCTCAGGAGCACACATGGGAGGTGGCAACTGGGCTGTGCAGGTCCTGGGCCCGAGAGCAGGCTGATCTCCACGCCCTACTCTGTTACCAGTGAAAACGGCTGGCCTGGGGGGAAAGCTGGCTTGGGCTTGCAAAGTAGAGGGTACTTGCTTCAAGAATCTTTTGGTAAAGCAAGAAGTCAAGTTCCCTTCTTTGTGTGAATCATCCTTTCTATACCCTGGGTTTAACCACAATTCTATGTGTTGAGGTTAGAAACATACTCTGTGGAGCTCTATTAGGCACACATACCCCATTCCTGTAGCATTTATGCTATCGCCCCCCACCCCCAGGGGTCTGGACCTCTGCTCCAAAGCTGGATGGAATGCAAATGTGAAGACTTAAGCAAAAGCTATCTATCCCATTTAATAAAAGAGTAATATGCAGATTGACCATCACTCCAACACACAAGATGGCTGCCCCCATGTGGACACAAGATGGCCAGCAGGGAGGGCAGTTGGGAGGGACCAGGCCTGCAGGGGAGGGTAGTTAGGGGTGACCAGGCTGGCAAAGGAGGGAAGTCTGGGGGCAAACAGACTGGCAGGGGACAGTTAGATATCAATCAGGCTGGCATGGAAGTGGTTAGGGGCAATCAGGGGCAGGCGAGCAGTTGGGAGCCAGCAGTCCTGATTGTGCGAGGGATGTCCAACATCCCTTGAGGGGTCCCAGATTGGAGAGGGTACAGGCTGGGCTGAGGGACACCCTTTCCCCCCCATGCACAAATTTCGTGCACTGGGCCTCTAGTCCTATACAATAAAAGCCTAATATGCTAAGTGTCCAATCATTCCGTTGGCCATTCAACCAATCAAAGCATAATATGCTAATAATATGCTAAGGTCACTCAACTGCTTGCTATGATGTGCACTGACTACCAGGGGGCAGACACTCCAACCGGTAGGTTAGCTTGCTGTTGGGGTCAGGACTGAGTGAGAGAGGCTGGACACCCCCTGGCGCCCTCCCACAGTCTCTCCCTGGCCTGTGCTCTCTTGCAATCTGGGGCCCCCTCGGGGGATGTCAGAAAGTCCATTTTTGTCCCAACAGCAGAACAACCAGTCACTATGACATGCACTGACCACCAGGAGGCTGACACTCAACACAGATTTGTAGTCCCACAGGGAGTGCTGCTCAGCCAGAAGCCAGGCTCACGGCTGGCGAGCACAGAGGTGGTTCCCAGACTGTGAGAGGGAGCAGTCAGGCTGAGGGACACTCCCAAGTACACAAATTTCGTGCACCTGGCCTCTAGTCTATACATATACAGATACATATACTGTACATATACATATGCACATGCATACACACACACACACATATATGGCTGATTTGCAAAATATTCCCTCCAGAGTTTGACCGAGAGACCCGGATTTCAATTGCTCGCTATGATGGGGGGGGGGGGGGGGGCAGCAGCACAAAATGAAGGCAGGCCCTGGCCAGCAACAGGAAGGCCCTGATTGCTGGCACGAATTTGTGCACCGGGCCTCTGGTTACTGTATTTAGTAGAAAACCACTAGCAGGATGATCAAGAAAGGAATGAGGCTGTGAAAGGATAAAAAGATAACACTTGCTGTATCTCATCAAGCCTCAGGTGCCATCAATTGTGAGCACAGCCTGACTGCAGATGGGTGAAGCAGCAGGACTTAATGCTTACCCTGGGCTGGACACCAAGGGCTTTACTCACTTAGTAATTCACCAAGTCCGCCACACCTCTCTGCGGCACACAGCTCTATCATCCCCACTTACAGTTTACAGAGAAAATGGGGCCGAGGGAGATCCAAAGACCCATCCCGGAGCAAAACCAGGATTCGAATGCAAGCAGCTGGCTCCCGAGACCATTCTCTTCCCCGCCACGCTCCAATGGCTCCCCGCGTCTGAGAAAGCCCTCCCCTCGGTGACTCCCACGGGCCCTTCTGAAGAAAAGAGCATCGTTTTCTTGTCATCTCGAGATGCTCTAATATGCTCAATAATTAAAGGTGGAAATGACTGTATTCCTTTGTCTCGCCCCCAGAGGACAAGCCGGGGAGCTCGAAGAGGGATCGGCTTGTTCCTGAGACGGCAGCTCTCCGCCCCGTGGGGTTTGTGGTGGGAGTGGCTCACACCAAGGGCAGGCGCCGTTTCTAGAAGGGCCAGGGGACTGTGCCACATGACGCCAATGTCAGGCCAGATCAGGACACACCACTGACAGCAGCCTTCTCCGGCTCTGAAACCAGACCCCAGGCTCCAGGGGCCTCTGAGATCGCAGAGGACCCCCCTCGGCTCCCTTCTCCCAGGAGCCGCTGGCTCTGCAGGCAGGCGACCTGCAGAATGGACTGACTTCTCCTTGGCCTTCAAACTTCTACGAAACGGGCACAACTTTCTCAGGGACCTGCCACAGGGAGGCCCCCTCACACAGCGGCCAAGGGATTTCCTCTCACGACAACGTCGGAAGGTGTCCAGAAGGCAGCGTAAGGGAGCAGCAGTACACAGAGAAAGGGCAGCTGGAGGGAATGGGTTTATTTTTCATCTGAGAGGATAAAATGCCCTGAAAATAAGGGCCCTGCTGGCTGACTGCAAACCTGGCATCGGCCCTGCCGCAGTGCCAGTGCCACAAGCAAGAGGCAGATGGTGCATCTCACCAGCATGTCCAGAAAGCCCTGGAAAGCTCCCCTGTACAATCTTAGTTGTTTCGTTAGCAGGCACAAGGGTACTCATAAGTTATGGTACCTATGGCTTCAAAGGAAATACAGCCCCAAAGCACTCACTCTTCCTGGCAATCTTTGCACAAAATCATCATGTGGACTTAAGTCTCCCCACTGGGGAAAGTGACTTTCCGAGACAATCACGTCCTAGAGAGACGGTTCCGGAAGCAGGACAGGAACAGGTGCCGGAACGGTGGCTGCCAAGATGCCAGAGACTCCAGCGGGAGGGAATTCAGAGGCACCACCACCTACACGCCTGGCAGAGGCGGACGGGCACCAAACTCTAAAACCTCAGGTACCATCAAGGCTACAATATGCTATGTTCATATAGGGGTTATGCTAGAAAGGATTCTAACAGGAAAAGTAAAGACATCCACCAGACCTGGCTGGTGTGGCTCAGTGATTGAGCATCGGCCTATGAACCAGGAGGTCACGGTTTGATTGCAGGTCATGGCACATGATGCCAGGTTGTGGGCTTGATCCCCAGAATGGGGCATGCAGGAAGCAGCCTATCAATGATTCTCATTATTGTTTCTATCACTCCCTCTCCCTTTTTCTCTCAAATCAATAAAAATATGTTTGTTTAAAAAAAAAAAATTAAAAAAAAGACATCCACCAGAGAATTACCTGCGCAAGGAGCAGAGAAAGCTCCAGGATCTCACAGAAACTGACGTGGTCATTCTGCCCTGAGAATGGCCCTCATTCACCACAGAGGAAGGCAGGGAGGGAAGTGCTCCCCACTCTACCTCCATCAGCTCCCAGCAGGAGCAGCAGTGGTCAGTAGGCAGCTACAGGGTCAGCATCAGGCTGCAGGAAGCCTGCGTGGCTCTCCGGAGCTGCTCTGGGGCCACCACCCAGCACAGGAGTGGCCTGTACCGTGGCCGTCCCTCTCTACTGGCTCCTTTCCAACATCTAAACTAAGCCCATGTGACTCGCCCATCTTAATCCGGCCATTCCCTCCCAGCCACTGCTCGTGGCTTCTGCTCTCCAGCCACACCTCCCAGAGGCTCTGCATAAGCTGTCACACCTCTAATGCCCCACCCACTCCATGTTGTCCCACACAATGGCTTCTCAGGCCAGACGGCACAATGCTGGCCTCCTCTCCTGATCACTGGCCTTCCCTGGCTTCCAGATGCTCCAAGCTGCTGGCTCTCCTCAGCAGCCTCTCTGCTGCCCTCCCCGGCCATGCCTGTGCCCCTCTGCTCCCCTTCTGTGGTGGAGGGACCACTTTTACACCCAGAACCAGACCTTCACCTCCACTCAGGTCCTTCCAATTTCACGGCACCTGCCCCCTAGGACTTGGCCTCCAACCACTGCACAAACTCCAAAGTCCAGAACAAACTCTTCACCCAGCCCCTGCCCTCACCTTCCTGCAAGCCAGGTCTCATCCCCAGCTCCTCCCTCTTGCTGAAAAGCCCCTGACAACCACAAAACCTTCCCAACTCTACCTCCAAATGCCCTTTTGGGTCTCCTTCCCAAACCCCATTCAGCCCGCCATCCTCTCCCTCTGTGCCATCGCCTTCCCCCCCACCCCATGGTCTCCACACCAGTCGTGGTGAGATGCTCTGCTTACAGGCACTACCCTGCGGTCAAGTCCAGCCTCCTTTCACGGTCTCAAGCTGGGAGGCAGCAGGGGCAGGTGGAATAAACCCTCCCAACTGCCTCCAGGGCCACCTCTTAGGATACAATGGCCCAGATGGAGTACTAACCACCAGGAGGTTCTGTCTGGCCCCAACCTGGGGGCCCCCCACCTCTGACAGTGGCTGAATGACCCCCTTCTTGGAAGACAGCTGGGAGCGCCCATGAGATTCCCTAGCAGAGCAGTCAGAGCTACCCATCAAGCCTCCGGTCCAATGGGAGGCCTGGCACTAACAGTAACCGTCAGCCCAGGCAGCACCCAGGCCTCAGGCAGGATGTACATGAGCGCCCAGAACTGTCTGCATAAGCAGTGCTAATGCAGGAGTAACAGGGTCAGGTCCACAAGCCCTGCCCCCCGCCTCCCTGCATCCCTGCTTCCCTGTTCCCCGCCTCCCTGCCTCCCTGTCCTCCACCTCCCTGCCTTCACCACCAGGGGCCAGCCACGAAGGTCAGGGGGCTTTATCACTTCCCAGCCTCATATTACACAGCCTCTGGGATGAAGCCCACCCAGAATTCTGGGGTGTCCCCTGTGCCCACCCTGCAGTGCAGGTCTGAGGAGCTGGCTGGCAGCCGAGGAGCAGCCACGCTGTAAGGAGCACGTCGCATTGGCCACGGAAAGGACTACAGGGCAGCCCACACCTTCACACCTGGAGGGTAGGTTTTGGTTTTTACCTGCAACCTAAGAGCTGCTCAGATACATCAAGGTGAAAGAGAGTAAAATGTGGTTACGGGAGAACCTGAAAGCCCTTATGGAAGTTTTCTGAAAGAAGACAACTGAAGGGGAGACTAAATCGGCATCCATGAAGTTGTTTCTGGCAAAATCAAAGTGGACATTCCATCCACACCTGCAGAGTGGACATTCCAACCACTCCTTTCCTGTCATCAGTAAGGCAGCAGCCCTCTGTGACCTGAACAAGGACGAGCTGGAAACACACTGTGGATGGACAAGGACAGGGCAATTTCACATCACAGGCCTCCCTGGCTCACTGCTCTTCACAGGGGCTGCGTTTTTGACAGATGGAAGGCAAGACCCTCCACCAGCAAAAACATTAAGCCTCGATATCTCTGGAATGTGCCTGCATATGAGGGCAGATAATAGGTATCTGGAGACAAGTTTTCTCTATGTTTTTAGTTTCTATCCGAGAGTTTGGATGTGCTACAAACCCAAAGCCCATAAAGGGGGTTGGAATCTAGTGGACATGCCTCCCAGAATTGGGGGCCTACCAGGAAAGGGGACAGTTTGCTCGCTATAAGCGCTGTCACCCTCTGAACGATGGTCCTTAAGTGAAATTTCAGAAAGTCATTCAGAGCTGCAAGGCAATCATCTTCTTTATTTAATTAGAGGAAGAGAGAGGAATAGAGAGTTAGAAACATTGATGAGAGAGAATCATTGATCAGCTGCCTCTTGCACACCCCCCACTGGGGATGTGCCCGCAACCAATGTACATGCCCTTGACCGGAATCGAACCCGGGACCTTTCAGTCCGCAGACCGACGCTCTACCAGGCGTCTACTAGCCAAACAGGTTTCGGCCCATCATCTTCTTTAAAAGGGACCCTCACCCCTTTCTAGGGAAGACCGAAGGCCTTCGGGTCCCCTCCGCGACTCCCAGACCTTACCTCGCTTGAACTCTTCCAAAACGGCGTCCAGCTTGGTGTCGTTGAAGACAAAGTGGAGCGGGTGGTTGTAGAAGCGGGTGATGGTGCTGAGCGGCGTGCAGTCCTCGGGGTCCACGAAGGCCAAGTCCTTGAGGTAGAGCATGTCCACGATGTTGGAGCGCTCCTCCTCGTACACAGGGATGCGCGTGTGGCCGCTCTGCATGATGCTGGCCAGGACGCCGAAGTCCAGCACGGCGCTGGCTTCCAGCATGAAGCAGTCCTCCAGCGGCGTGAGCACGTCCTCCACGGTCCGGTAGCGCAGCACGCCCTTGCTGAGGTCGCTGTAGAGATCGCCGCCGCCCCGGGCCAGCTCCAGCACGCGCTCGCGCAGCCGCCCGGGGCGCGCCGCCAGCTCCAGCAGCTGACCCACCGGCAAGGCCACGGGCAGCGTGAGCAGCACGGCCAGGCGGCTGAGCGCCAGCGCGCGCGGGGCCAGCGCCAGCGTCCAGCGCCCGCTCACGGCGGCCGGCAGCACCTCGGCCACCAGGAACGCGAGCCCGGCGCTGCCCAGCACGGCGGGCACGGCGCGCTGGCCGGCCGCGCGATACAGCAGCACGGCCAGCGCCGCCTGCGCCAGGCAGGCCAGCAGCAGCAGCGCGCCCAGGGCGTAGCTGGCCCAGCGCCGCGCCGACTCCAGGCGCCGCGCCGCCGCGCGCTCCGCCTCCGCCCCGTTCTCGCGCAGCACCTGCACCTCAGCCGGCGTCAGCGCCAGCGCGCTCAGCTGCAGGCCCCGCGCCAGCGCCGCCAGCGCCAGCAGCCCCGCGGCCCCCAGGCCGAGCGCCCAGGGCGGCACCGCCTCCGGGAACGCCGCCGCCGCGACGCTGGGCTCCGCGCGCACGGCCTCGGCGCGCAGGCGCAGCAGCGCCCGCCACTCGCCCGCGGGGGCCGCCGCCGCCTTCTCCTCAGCCCCCGCGCCGCCCGGCTCCCCGCGCACCGCCAGCAGCGTCGAGTGTGGGTGCTCGGCCTCGGCTCGTAGACGTAGCAGCGCGCGCCACTCGCCTGTCGGGGCCGCCGCCGCCTCCCCCCCGGACGCGGCTGCTGGCCCGACCGGCCCGCCATCGGGGCAGCCCGCACCCTCGGGGGCCGCCCAGGACCAGGAGCTGTTCCCGAAGCCCCAGCCAAAGAGGCGCAGGCGGAAGGTGGCCTCAGGCACGGCCGGCACCTCCCCTCCGCGCGCCCACGCCGCTCCCGCGGACCCGGCCTGCTCCAGGCAAACGCCCAGCACCCGTGGACCCTGCGCCACCTCCCCCGCGGCGTGACCCAGACAGAGCGCGGCCAGCAGCCAGCCCAGCCGCCCCGCCGCTGCTGCTGCCGCCATCGCCCGCTGCCCGTCTCGAGCCCCCGCGCAGCCTACCTCCGCCTCCGCCGGCCAATAGGCGCCGGCCTCGCGCTCCCCTTCGCCAATGGGCGACGCGTGGGGGCGGGCCTAGGGTCGGGCTAGGCTGCGCCGGGGCGTAAACAAGTGGCGCGGGCCGGGCGGGCCGGGGCGGGGCTGACGGCCGGGAGTGAGGGGGCGGGGCGCGGTGCTCGGGAGGTCGGCGTCCTGACTCCGGAGGCCCCGAGTTCTGACAGGTCCCCGGCTGGCGAGCGGCCGCAAGCGAGGGTCTCGGTGTAGGGAGACGTGTCGCTTTCTGAGGGAAGGGCCTGGGAACTGCCGACGAGAGAGACGGAGGGCGAAGGGAAATCCGAGTTGGGCTCGGTGAAGATGCTTGTTGATGGCTTCTGACCCGCTCTAGTCCCCGGAACGGAGACAGCTCTTGCAGGAAAGCATAGAAACACGAGATCACTGCCCCCTGGGACCTTCGCCGCTACTTCATGTTATTTTTCAGGAGAAAAGTGAAGCATGACTCGGCGGATGTTGGGTTCCAACACGACCTGCCTAATACGCGACACCCTCCCAGGTCACCATCCCAGCCACATTCGGAGACTGGCCTATCCGCTCCACTTCTAGTTCTTGGTCTTAGGCTTCCTGAGGAAAGGACATAGCAATCATTCATTTTGTTGGGAAACCTTTGGACAGTTGAAGCCATTTGGATCACACAAATGGTCACTTGTCAATATCCAAAGACAAAATCCAGCACAGCCCTGGCCGGTGGCTCAGTAGAGCATTATCCTGTACACCAAAGGTTTCTGGTTCAATTCCCATCAGGGCACATACAAAGGTTGTGGGTTCAGTTCCAGACTGCACTGCAGGAGGCAATCAATTTCCTCTCTCTAAAAAAAAATTTATATATATTGAGATTATATATATATATATATATATACACACACACACACACTCAGGCGAGGATGAAAAGAATATATTAGATAGCTTATATTTATAAAGTTATCTTTAAAAATATAAGCTATCTAATATATTCTAAAAAAAAAAAAAAAAAAAAAAAAAAGGAAAGAATCCAGCACAGGGAAAAGCTGCTCACGAAGTGCTCTCCTGCTAACAGTAGAGGCTTCTACTGTGCTTCAGGTCCCTCGTTTACCCTCCCTGGGCCATTTTCATTACTGGTCATTTGGTTCAAGACATTTCCATGTTTTATCCAAATATTTGAGTTTTAAACCCATAGCTACTGTGACTTCACTGGCTAATTCCTGCTTATTTCTGGTCTGCAAATGTTACTTCCTCCAACTGGTCTTCCTCCACCATCTAGACTAGGTTGAGTCAAGATTATGACAGCTAGGTGCTGCTCCCCGAGAGCATCCAATACTTATCTATAGTGGTAAGTTCACTCATTCAATAAGTATTTCCTTTAATGAGTGTCTGCAATGTACCAGGTCCTGTTCTAGTGGTGGGACTATATATATATATATAAAAGCCTAAGTGACCAAATGACCCAATGACCATTCCCGATGACATGCACTGACCGCCAGGGGGCAGATGCTCAACGCAGGAGCTGCCCCCTGGTGGTCAGTGCACTCCGACAGCAGGAACTCTGCTCAGATGACCCACTGTCCCAGCAGCCCACCACTCACTCCCTCAGTAGTTCTGTAGGTCCAATCTCAGAGAATGTGCCAGGCACTGATGGGCCAGTGCCACGGGCATGATCTCAACAGTGATGCTGGCCTGAAAGTCAGCCTCGGGCACCATGGCTGCTTCCCCTACCTAAATGCTCAAGGAAGAAACGATATAAAAGTGGCCACCAGGTGGCTCCCGACACCCAGCGTGAATGTCAGTGGGACAGATCCCCAGGGTGTCCCACCACAGCCCTGGAGGGCCGAAGGCATCCAGGACCCAACCCCCTTGGGCGAATGCCAGACACAGGGCTTTCCCATCACGGACCGACTGGGCTGGAGCCTGCAGCAGGTGCAGCGGGGCTCTGATGAGCAGGAGCGGCAGGCAGCGTTGAACTGCCGGCTTTGGCCTGATCCCCGCAGGCCACCCTGAGGGATCCCACCTGTGCACAATTTCATGCACCAAGCCTCTAGTGTGGAAATAAGTCCCTGCCCCCCTGAGCTTAGGTCCTAGTTTAGGGACAACAGGAAGTGCACAAATCATATTTTAATATCCTGCAGTAAGTGCCACGGAGAAAAACAGGAGGAGATGCTGTTTTAGGTGGGGTGATCCAGGAAGCCTTCTCCAAGGTGTTGGAACAAGCCTAAACCAAGCAAGGAGACGAACCCTGGGGCAGACTGTTCCAGGCAGAGGAGACAGCAAATCCAAGGGTCCTTGTGTGACTTTCTCCCTGAGAGGGTCTTACTCGTTAAACTCACTGAGGAGTCAGTGGCACCTGGCAGCAGGGGCTTTAACATGTGGAGAGGGATGAATGATACTCTTCCCAGCATTACACAGCTTTTTGCATTTGTTTTTCTTTTTTCTGGAATGTCCTCCCTTTTTTTAAACATCCCCCCAGTTTGACAACATTGTTAAGCCTGTCTGGCTTGGCCAAGGTACCTTTGGGCACTGCAAGAGTGGGTGTAGTGAGGTCACCCTCAGGTGGGCCCCTCAGAGGCAACTGCACATTATAAAACAATGTGATCCCATGTTTGGATCAAGCTCCTTTCTCCGTCAGCCCCCAGGGGAAAGAGGAGAGGCAATCTGCCCATTCCAACTGCCCCTTCAGTACCTGTACCCAGGAGGACTTGTGGTGTCCGTTTTACAGGTTCCTAATTGTGGCAACTGAGCACATTTGCCATGTATGTCTAGCAGCTCCTGAGGACAGCCTTTGTTACATATTAGAGGCCTGGTGCATGAAATGCATGCACGGGGGGGGGGGGGGGGGGGGGGGCGGGAGAGAAGATCCCCTCAGCCCAGCCTGCACCCTCTTGCAGTCCAGGAGCCCTCAGTTAGTTAGACATCCTTAGCATTGCTGAGGAGGTGGGAAATGCTTCTGCCACCACCGTTGCGCTTGCCAGCCTTGAGCCCAGCTTCTGGCGCTCTGCCTTGGGAATGCTCAGACCATCAGGGGGCAGCTCCTGCATTGAGCGTCTGCCCCCTGGTGGTCAGTGCACATCGTAGAGACCAGTTGTTCCACTGTTCAGTTGATATGCATATTAGCCTTTTATTATATAAGACATTTTAAAAATTACATTGCTGCTGCTTTTTCACTGCAAAACAATCCCAGAATACTTGTCTCTTGCCATGACACAGTGACAGCCAACCACAATCACTTCTATTTCTATGAAAGGTACCAAATACTGACTGAACTTAAATAGGGAAATTGTAGATGCACCAGGATTTCATATTTCATTTTTTTATTACCAATCAAAAATAAATTCCATATATTGTTTAGCAAATATTATCATTGTTTTGTGACAAAAGACACAAGAGTCATAACAACAAAACTCCCCGAGAGTCAAACTCATAACAATGCCAAAATAAATCACAAATATATACAAATTAAAATCTTCTGCAAAATAAATATGTTACTTGCTATGGTGGCTGTGACTTGCCTACCCATTTGGAGGCCATCCCTCACATAGGAAGACATGCAGGGATGGGCCAATTCCAGGGTAGAGCTCAGCCCAGGAACCAGAAGTTGGAATAGGAAGTGAAAAATTGCACTAGGAGGAGGAAGTCATCGGACCAGTAATATTTGGAAATAATTACGACCCTTTGCAAGAAGTGATTATAAATGGGGAAGGGAAGGACGGGGGAGAAGGGACAGCTGTTGATAATAACCGTGTGTGCAAAGAGGTAGCGTGGAAGTGTTTTTACTTCACACACACTCACTTGGTTCAGGCCAATGTGCTTGGCCCTGCCTGGCACTCAGGTCTCAAAAACACAGCTTTGCAAACTTCCATGTGGACTCCGAAAGCAAGCTGTGCGTGTAGAAAACTAATGGGTTTCCCCACAGGGAACAAAAAGGTCCAGTGTCTTTTCTTCCTTCTGGCTGAGAACCCATGTGTATCACCATCTTCTCTCCAAACTTTTAGGAACAAATTCTGTGACTGGCCAGGGGTAGGCATACTTGGTGCAAGACATTTCCCGGTCTCAAGACTTAGGGTTCTCCAGGCACCTGAAGAGCAGAGCCCTTTAGGAAAGGAGTGAATAGACAGTACTCAGGGGGAGACCTACAGAGTCTCCTGCACCTGATCTTGGGCAACTTTCCACCCAACAAAAGGGCCAACCACGAACCTTGGTCCCACAGCCTCCCCAGCAGGGAAGCCTGGAGCTGTGCGGCAGGCAGGGCCTAACAGCCCCAGGGAAAGGTGCTGGGCAGGACTTCCTGTGGGCGTGGAGCTGTGCCCCCAGATTCACACAGGACAAGATGACGTCTTACAGAGGATTACGGACCTGGGGGGCCGTGGCCGCCCACGGTGTGTCCTTGAGGCTGAAACCTTTCCTGGGTTATGCAAGTGTATAAATAGGCAGGTGAGCCTCAGCCACGAGAAAGGGCATGGAGAACCTGCTTAGGTGGGCTTCCTACACATCCTGTTCTCAATCCCCAAGAGACCTTGGGGTTTAGATTAGAAGTAGGGAGTCTGGAAAGCAGAGTTCAAGGGCCAGACTGGATTTTGGTTGTGGGGTGGGAAGGGGATGGTATTACTTGCTAACAATGCAAATACTCATGACTAGATTCCCTCCTAGAACCAAAAGGAGTATCACAGACACGTCGCCTCCAATGTAGATGCTGTCCCAACCCACGGGAAAGCCTTTGGTACAGTGAGGGCAGCTGGGGAGCAGGGGCAATCTGAAAGGCGGGCGATGCTGCCTAATGCGTCAAGTCAGCCCCCTTACAAGGGAACAGCTGTCCGAGGGGGCAGGTATGAGGCGAACAGTGAGGCCAGGGTTGAGAGTCCCAGTGGCCCCAACGAGGAGAGCCCATCAGCAGTTTCAGAAATTCCTGGATCCAGCGAGTGACAGGAGCAGGGCTCCTCCTTTGAGACTGGAAGTACAAAGCCTGACCACAGTTCCCAGAAGCCCTCTGCCTCGGCGACGTCAGACAAGCCTCAGTGCACGTGTCCAGGCAGTTGTTCTCAACGCTATTTGGTTCTTTGCTTCCTGGGAAGCTCTGTCTTCCTCCCAAGAAAAAATCTTCCTCCCGCAGCTGCTGGGCCCCGTCTCAGGAGGACAAGGAGCAGGAAGAGTCGGCTCCCTGAGTCAGGGACATAGCCAGGTCGTGGTTGGGAGCAGATTATGGCTATTGCTTCCCGGGGTGAGAAACCCCTTCCAAAGTTTTTGTGGGGGGAAAAGTTTTTAAAAATAAAACCCTTAACCCTGTCCTCCCTTCCCCAAATGATATTTCAAAAAAGGAGCAATAAGCCTAGTTTAGAAAGTCTCCAGTACAAAATCTGCCTTGTGATGGTTGCTCGCCACCCATAGTCCAGAGCTGGGCAGCTGCTACTTCCGAGCTGCTCACAGGTCCCCGTCAGAGGCCAGCTTCCCCGCAGGCTGGGGGCCACCTGGCTGCTCAGTAAGGTAGGCTGTCTGCACCCCGTCTGGCCTGACAGGCTCCTTCTCTTCAGGTGGGCCCACTGGAGCGGCCCCCGCGGAGCTGGCGGGGGGCCCCGGGCCCTCCTGTCAGATGGGGCTCTCGGGGGACGCTCTGTGCAGCGTGGCGTTGCGCTCGTTGAGCAGCGTTGTGGTCTCGTCCACCACAGGCAGCTCGGGCTTCTCCGCCAGGTTCTCCGTGCAGATGGTGCACCCATCCAGGGGAAACTGAGGGCAGGTCTCCATCCGTGAGGCCAGCAGCCCGTTCTGGTACTGTTGTCGCGTGATCTGCAGGAGGAGCAATGGGAGCAGTAAGAGCAGGAGCTGGGAGGCCACCTGCACCAGTGACCTGGGGACGCAGATGCAAGGCTGTAACCGGGGGAGTCTCCGGTCACAAGAGTAAGCAGCAGGAGAAGGAAGACTCTCACATGGGGCCTGTGCTCCAGGTGGCGGGGGAAAAAGAGAGTTGCTGGTTCCTGAGACAGTGGTCCCCGAGGCTAGCGGAGCACTCACCTTAATATACTGCAGGTCCATGAGCGCCCGGACACTGAAGTCAGAGATGTACTGGCCCAGGACAGAGCTGCCCAGCTGGTTGCTGCTGCCTGTCAAGGGGCCTGGGCTCGTGAGGTCTGTGCGGTCCGGGCAGCTGAGGGAGGCCGAGCGGCTCAGGCAGGAGGGGTGCGATGGGGAGCGGTCTGTGGGGAGAAAGAGGCTGTCAGGCGCCGACAGGCACCAGCCTGGACTGTGGTGCCTCCTGGCTAGCCCTGTCCCATGGATGCCAGGGCTGCTGCCCCCACTGGGAATGGGAACACTTCTTCAGGACAAGTGAGAAGCTTTAACTTCATCAAAGCAAACGAGTTAGTTTGTTTAGCAGTGCTGTGCAATACCTACTAAAAAGTATAACAAAACAGAAAACAAAAACCAAAGACTTAAAGTTTATGGCTGCAAAACCCTAACAACTGATCAGTCCAGGGCAGCACGATGGTTACCCTTGTGTGGTGGCCGCTCTCCTCTCTGTAACAGCTCGTGTCAATGGACACAAACCGCATTCCTTTAAATTATATTAAAAGAAAAATTACACAGTTTGCACTTTCATCTCTCTCATACACACCCCCCTCAATATAACACCCTGCTCATAACTAAAAGTGCTCTTAAGACGACAAATATTTGTTCTGCACGTGACCTGTTCTGTGTGGACAGTCCTTCCCGCTGTCTGCTGAGCCCCCGCCTGGCCGGGGCGGCATGCTCCTTCCCCAGGAACCAGAGGCCCAGATCGCCAGGCTTCCCATCCCAACTAGTGCCAGGCTCCCTCCGGAGGCAAAGCCTGGGCAGTGCTGGCGGTGCCTCTTCCTGCACCAGGACAGCACAGGCCTCATTCCGCTGACTAACCAGGGCAGCGGGATGACTCAACCTCAAATGAGAAACACAGTCCTTATTTTGAAAAAGAAACTGCACACATTATAGCGCTCTTATTTTTTAAAATATTTATAAAACAATGAAATCCACAAAGAAGTTAATAGTGAAGGCATGCTGGCTTGTTTCAAACAAACAGGATTAAACTAAGCTGATATGCTTAGTTAAGTACTAAGTTACTAACTAACTATTAAGTTAGCTGTTCTAACAGCTCAGTGAAGGGAACAAACATCGGGTGACAGAAAGACCAGTGGAGCTTTGACCAAGTGAGGCTGCATCAGTAATACACCGTCTTTGAGCTTTAGTCAGAAAAGAAAAATATAGTGTGGTTCTACAATTGGGCAGTGCACAACCATTAGAGCAGGGTGGGAGAAACTTTCTTCTGCCAAAGGCCATTTGAATATTTATAACATCATTCGAGGGCCATATAAAATTACCTACTTTAAAATTAGCCTGCTATATTAGCCTAAATACTTAATTAACTCACCTCTAATGCCTTGGCAGGGCCAGACCAAATGGTTTCACAGGACTTACATGGCCCCAGGGTAGGACATTCCCACCCTGCATTAGAGGATCATGTGCATGTATCACTTATTCTAAACTCAGTAACACCTCGGATTAAGTTCTAGAAGAAAACAAATACTGGCAAGAGCAACCTTCCACATTATGGGAGCATTTGAGATCTTGCTTCCTGGCAACTGTCATCAGTTTAGTTCAAATAAACTCTTACAAAAACTAAAAAAACTAAAAACAAAAAAAACCTTCACATTAATTAGTTATTTGCTTTTAATTAATGCTTATTAACATGCCAGAACAGGAAATGAATTTAAAACCAACACAGATTGGTGGCAGAACCTATTAAAAATAGAGGTCCTAAAGAAAACTACAACAAAATATGAAGCATTTGTTCTGAATGGAACTATAACGCTTATTAATTTTATTTCCCCCCTAATAAGCTATGTTATTTTTATGATTAAAACAAAGGAATATGTGTAACAAAAATGGAATTTTTAATTTGGTAATTCTACTTCTAAAAAAATATTCTAAGGATACAATCTCAAACACCGATGACATTTTTCACAAAGGGGTTTACATCACAGCATTATTCAGCATATAGACCTCATGAATATGCATAAGGGAAATAACAAGTGAAGGTACATCTGCCTGGTGGACTCTGCTCCCATATTACGTAAAAACATCAGGATTCAAACCCCGTATGCATAAACTTCTGGCCATATGTGAAATAAGGAAGTGCAGAAGAGGCAGAGGGAGGCTGGTCAGTGAAGGCCAAATGGCCTGTATGCTCTCATCAGACACCCCCTGCACAGAGCCATTACAACTTCCTGCTTCCCATCACAGCCAAAAGTTTGTTGTGTTTGAAAGGAATTTTAACATTTTTTTTAGAAGAGGGTCAGTAGTAAAGTGTGCTTTGGTGCAGGTTAGAAGAAAAAACCAGACGCAGGAATATAAAGTGGGAAAGAGCTGACTGCAGCGCTAGGCTTTCTGGCCCGTGGAGGCTCAGGAGCTGCTCTAGGTTACGCACTGAGCCTGGAGCTCTTAACTTCCTCAGGGGTCACGGGGCCAGGCCAGGCTCTGGTGACAAGGCCAGCACCTCCCGCCACCATCTGCTGCCTTGGATCACGGGACACAGGGATGCTGCCAGTGAGCAGGAATCAGTCTGGCCAGCACGTGCGTGCATGCGCACACACACCTTCTCAAAGACTGAAGAACCTTCAGGAACCACTTACAGGACCAGGGCAAAGCCATCCAGTAACTGAGCTCTAGGCCAAGCTGGCTCTGAAGGGTGAACAGGTGGGGAGCCCCATGCCTACTGGGACAGGTTAATGCAGCTGTGGTGTGTGGCTCAGGCGACAGGTGGCAGTGCAATGTTCTCCAGCCATGCCATGTTACCTGGGAGCCAGGAGAGCAGGGAGTTCTGCTTGCCAGGCGGACACCCGACCTGGGTTGAAGGCACTGGAGCAAAAGAGGAAAAGGTCAGTGCTGGGTGGGTCCAGGTCAGGAGGCAGGACATGGAGCACAGGAATGGGCTGGAGAAGCAGGCCCCTGGGCAGTGAGGGGCTCCATGGAAAAGGAGACACGACTTTGACAGGCAGGCGCTCAGGCAGATTCACGGGCCCTGGTCAGAGGGCAGGTGCTGGCAGAGCTGCCACAGTGAATCCAGAGCCCAGAAGACACCCCTTCCCCTTCAGGCCAGCCAATGGGAACTGAGAGCCTCCAGGTCAAGGGTCAGAGCGCAGGACCATGCTGCAAGCCCCTGAGGCACTAGGGCAGAGAGGGCCTGGAGGAATGTCCCAGGACTGAGTATCCTGAACAGGATTTCCCCAGGCTGGATGCTGAGCAGTCGTCCCAGGGCCGCCAGTCCAAAACCCAGGTCCAGAGCCCGGTTCCTCCTCCCCTTCTCCCTCACAGGCCGGCTCGTGATGGGGTGCGGGTTGGGGGAGGGCGCAGGCTGTGTCAATAGACCCCGCCACAGGGTCCTCTTTGTCAGAGGATAACAGGCACAGCCGAGGCTCCTAGAAGCTACAGCACCTGCCTCATCTGTAGCCTGTCTCCAGCCCACAACCACCCAGGCCCCTCTCGAGTCCCACAATGAGTGAGGAGCTGTGCTGGCCCCTTCGGACTGGGGAAGCAGAGGGCACTGGGTGGCCTGAGAGGCCCTTCCTTGGTCTTGCCATAACCTATAACCTCTCTTGGAGGTTGTCCAGTACCCTCTTTGTCCCAAGTCCCTTTATTCCATCACAGCCAACCCTTAACCAAGAGGCAGGGGCTAAGCCATGAAAAACCAAACTTGCCTGTAACCTGCCCTGGCCAGGCTCCCAACCTCACACATGGGATGCCTTCACCCCAATCCCTTGGCTGCCCTCTCCCAGGCTTCATAGGCAAGACCCCATAGCCTCCCTCCACATGCCCGCTCTCTCAACTCCCGCCTGCCGTGATGGCTAGTAAGGGTCACCCTGGCCCGTGGGCCCACTGGCCTGTTCTATTCTCAAAGCCATCGATGGCTTCTTGCTGCCTATCACAGCCATACACCATCGACCTCCTGGAGCTCCCGACTCATCCTTCCTCCCAGTCTTCCTCCCCCGGCAGGCAGGCTTCCCCACCATCTCAAGGCACACTCTCAGCCCCCTCCAGGCCTCTGCTCAGAATCCACCCTCCCTACCCCCTCCGCTGAATCACTGCTCTTCCAGGCCACCTCCTTCAGGCCCAGAGCTCACGGGGCTCCCTCTCCTCGAACCACCGAAGCTGTGAGCCATCTGGATGCCAAGGGGCTGGGGCCACTCGTGCGGCTCCCCGTCCAGGCCGCTGGGGCGCGGCCAGTGCAGCCCAGCCACTCACCGGAGGGTAGCGAGGTCAGCGCCATGGTCCCGTAGTAGGAGAAGGCACCCGTCTCAAACTTCATGTTCTCCTTCCCAGCCTCCACCTCCACCTTCCCCTGAAAGAACACAGGGTTAGGCTTCTAGAGTGAGAAGCAAAAACAACAGCAACAAAAAGATGAGGCAAGAGGAGACATGAGGGTGATGGCAGTGAGCTGCCTGGAAGAGGCGGGCAGCGGGGCGCACAGGCCCAGGGCAGGTCGCAGTCTGGGGCGGGAAAGCCCGCGTCCCGTCCCCGCATTTCACAGGAGGCGCCGGGTGGCGGGCTCACCTGCAGGATGAGGATGAAGTAGTCGGCCGGCTTGTTCCGGGTGTACAGATAGTGGCGCACAAAGTATTTGTTGTGATCGTCAAACTTGAGTTCCTGAATGACGTCTGGGTACTTGAGCAGCCGAAGCAGGATCTTCTCCGATATCAGAGCAGGGCTGAACTGGGGGACTTCTGCAGGGAGAGGGAGACCGCGCATGGGACCAGCCGCCGCAGGACAGGGGCAGCCCCTCACGCTGGCTCTTCCCTCCGCCCGGAGGAGGGAGAGCCCCGGGCCTGTGGAATGGTAGCTCCTGCATTGCCCGGGCTGATCTGGGGCAAGTTAACTGCATACAGTCTGCTCTTCTGTAAAATGGGTGTTAAAACTTCAGAGTGGTTGTGAGGTTAAACAGAGTAACACATGTAAAGCTCTTAGACACATCCTTGGCGTAAGGAAAGTGCTTGTGAATGTTATCATCATTGTTCATCATCGACATCATCCATCCCCTTGCAGAAAAAATAAAGGGATTACTGAGGTCTGACTGGGAGGGGGGAAGGGAGTAGGCAGGTGTCTTTCTAATCCATCGCCCAGGTCCCCAAGGGAACTGTGAATCTGGGGTGAGAAGAGATATGACACTGATCTACAGGTTAAGTCTGCACTCAAGTCCAGTACATGAGGCAGAGGGGAGAGGGAGAGACAGCACAGGGCTAGGCGCAGGCTCCTCAGAGGGGAGGAGCCAGGCAGGGGCCTACTCCATGAGCCTCGAAGGGCCTATCTCAGCTTCTCAGCCCCCCCCCCCCCCGCCCCCGGCTTGTTTTCAAAACTAACTTGCTGTTTTCTAGAAGTCTGCGATAGGGGAAGCAAACCGCAGTGCATGGCCAGGGGGAGCTGCCTCGCCCCGTCCAGAGGCAGCTGAGCTTCCCTGCACCCTGCATCTGTGTAGCCTCTAGCCCAGGCCTGACTGTCCCACCAACAGTGAAGGCCATCCTCTTGCTCTTACCCGTGGACAGAAAGCGGTGAGCAGCCAGGAGAAGCTGAGGTGAAATTTTCACCTTGAGTTCATTGTCAGTATCCTTGAAGGCTGAGAAGTCCCGTTTGTTCTTCTCAGTTACCCGTTTCCGGCTTCGGTTGTCAGCTGCAAGAGAATGAACTGGAGCTGAGCACACTGTCCCCACAGTGCACTCGCCAACAGAATGGAACCTATCCACTAGCTACCGGCTCTGTCGTCCTTTCCTCCACACAGAACCTGCAGTGTCTGGGGGCCCAGCAAGTCCCCAGGCTGATGCTGAGCCACAGAAGCCAAGAGGAGCCAAGGCAGCCTCCGGTCCCTGCTCCGAGCAATATGCTCCCAGTCATGCTGGCCTGTGTCCCTGCCCGGTGGCCTTCCCACCAGGACAGCAGACGCCAGGCCTGGGGGAAAGGGCTCTGGGCCTATGGGGAGGACTCACTGTACATATCGGACTCGTCCAGGATCTCGGACTTGATGATCTCCTCAATGACGTCCTCCAGGGTGACCAGGCCCAGGACCTCGTAGAAGGGGTCACCTTCCCCCTCGTTGTTCACCTTCTGCACGATGGCCAGGTGGGACTTCCCTGGGGACAATACAGTGAGTCAGACCAATCATGAGCCTCCTCCACCAAAATGTTAACACACCTGAGTCATTGGGGTGGGGCCAGGGGTAGTTTTTTTCCCCTTTTCTATATTTCCTAGAGTTTCTTTCTTTCTTTTTTTAAAAAATATATTTTATTGATTTTTTACAGAGAGGAGGAGAGAGGGATAGAGAGCTAGAAACATCGATGAGAGAGAAACATCAACCAGCTGCCTCTTGCACACCCCCTACCGGGGATGTGCCCGCAACCAAGGTACATGCCCTTGACTGGAATCGAACCTGGGACCTTTCAGTCTGCAGACCGACGCTCTACCATTGAGCCAAACCGGTTTTGGCGAGTTTCTTTCTTTTAAAAAAATTTTAAAATGTTTTTCAAGTTATAACATTTATTTTATTTTTTCCTTATTCTCCCATTATCCCCCCACTTATGCCCTCTTCCTGCTGTTGTCTGTGCCCATTGGTTAGGCTTATATGCATGCATACAAGTCCTTCGGTTGACTCTCCTCCTGGAGTTTCTATTGCAAACTGGTACTGCTTTTATGAAAAGGAAAACCGAAAGTATTGTTTACTGTCAAGGCATTACGGCCATTGGCTTAGCCAGAATGGAACGGGCAAGGCCCTCGTGGGAAGGGAAAGACCACACTGACAACTTGTGGACAGAAAGCCTATGTCATAGGCGGGCAGGTGCCAGCTGGCAAGGGCTCAGAGGGCGCCCACCTTCCCCGAAGCTGCAAGGGCCGCTCACTGCCTCCGGCAGTCCTTGGCACAGCTCCCCTGCAAGGACCCTGGGGCCATGACAGTGTCCCAGGCAAAGCTCTACATTCCCAAACCCATTAACAAATTAGCCCGTATAATTGGGCCAGGCAGGCCCTGTCATTAGAGAAAGGCCACCATTTCGACCTACAGCAAGAGAAAGACAGAAGGGGTTGGGGGAAACCTTCCACAGAAGCTGTAGGTGGTGGGTGCCCTCCTGGGTCCCCACCCTGCTCTGGTGCCCCAGAACCCAGGGTGTGACCACAGGAGACCGCCCAGAGGGGCCTGGCCCACACTCCGGGTTGACACGGTGTGCCCCACAGCGGGACGCAGGTTTGCAGCAGCCTCCGGGAGACAGCCCGGGAGAGCTGCGAAGGTCCAGTCAGAGATTCCTCAGATTCCCCTTCACAATCCAGTCTTAGGCCTCACTCTCAGGACATCCCTGTAGGCCAGGTTCTCAGATCCTTAGGCCACGGCAAACCCTTCAGAGCTCCTAGGGCCTCTTCGGGAGAACAGAGATGCCAGTCCTCGCAGCCAGCGTTTGGAAAAACAAATGAAAAGTGCCTTAGTGCCCCCCGGGAAGGGGAGTACTGTCCTGTGAGCCACCTCACACACAGTGCTGGTCACAGGGTACTGATTCCCAGCTTGGAGTGGTCAAAACACTTTCAGGATCTTGCTGGCCAGACTGAAGAGTTCCCTGTCTTCTAGCGAAGAGCCAATGAGAGCAAGTGATCTGCCAGGCCGTTGAGCAACAGCCAGGCAGGGCCCAGACCCTGGCCTCGCCACCTGCCGGAGGCTGCCCTGCAGGAGCCCTCCAGAAAGAGAGCCGAGGGCGGCACAGCCAGCTTAGACAGTCATCAGACGGGAACCAGAGTGAAAGCAGGCAGCTTGTGTCACCTCCCCGACCGACCGGCACGCCCCAGCAGCCGGTGATGCCAGTGCTGCGGGAGACAGGAGGCCTCGCAGGCCTCTGGCTGGTGGGCAGGAAAACAGGCACATTTCAGGAGGCCGATTTGGCAGCAGGTCTCAAAACCAAGGGTCCCCAACTTTGGCTTCAGAAATTCCACTTGTAGGAACTTACCCTATGGATGTAATCCTCACTAAAGCATAAAGACACAAAGCCAAGGGGGTCATCACAACGTTCTTTTCCACAGCCTCAAACCAGAGACCACCTGAATCAACTGCAATGGAGCAGAATGCGGGACAGGGGCTACACTGCCCGGGGAGAGGCAGCAGGGCTGAGGGACGGAATGTGGAACGAAACCCGAGACAGGCCATTAGTGGAAAAGCAAGTGATAGGACTGAATGCATGGTGCCATCTGCCTGCACGAAAATGGGGGTGGAGGGTGGAGAGGACCTTGAACTGTCTGGAGGAGGTAACAGTGGTCATTTTGGAGGGATTTTGAAGTTGGGGGGAGAGGCTAGTATCACTCTATTCACTTTCATATTCTATTGGATGGACATGTTTCATTTTCATTTTTTAACAAAAATATTAAGGAGAGCCTGGCCAGTGGGGCTCAGTGGTTGAGCGGTGACTTATGAACCTAGAGGTCACAGTTCAATTCCTGGTCAGGGCACATACCCAGGATGCGGCTCCATTCCCAGCCGATCAATGATTCTCTCTTATTGTTGATGTTTCTATCTCTCTCTCCCTCTCTGAAATCGATAAAAATATGTTTAAAAAATATTAAGGAGAAACACAAAATTAAGGGGAACTGGTAAAGGTCTGGATGATCAAGGCACCGCAGCACAAGGGGCCCAGGAATGGGGCGAGTCTCTTAATGCTGCCCAATTCAGAGCCCCAGCAGATTCAGCTCAATAATCTGAGAAAATGCACCCCCCTGAAACCTTCAACCAGCCATGGTCAAGGATTGTACTAGGCCTCACGGGAAAGGCTGGTGGTTCTTCTAAAAGACAGAACTATCCTCCGGTGGGTAAAATGCAGGGATTTCTTGTGCTGGATTGGGGGCACTCTCTGCCTCCCTGCCTGCCTTCTGAAGCTCCTGTCTGTAGAACCCACTGGTATGTGTGGCACCCTCTAGTGGCAGCACCATCAAGATGAGTACCTTGTAGATGCTGGCCTGGGGCACTGCCCACTCCCCCCTCTTCTGCATGCTAAAGAGCCTGGCACACTGCCGCTGACTGGCCACACACAAAGGGCTAGTTAGTCACCCTCCGCTGACCTGGCCATGGGACTCGGCTGTTTGTCTTTCCTAATTTGTCTGCCCTTTCCAAAGTCAGCCATGCCTGCCATGGTGGGGTCTCATGCTCAGGCTGCAGTCTTTGACCAGGGGTCTCTCTCTCCCTCCTCCAGCAATCTCCTGGTGTTCTGACCTCACGCCGGCCCTGTCCTCTTGACTCAGGAGGGCATCTGGTCCCTTGTCTGTGACTTTAAATAAAAACTATATGTCAAGGTGTCTCAAATAAATACTTGCAGCCCAGACCTCTTATGTGCCCTCCAGACTCTTACATCCAACTGCTTGCTGACAGCTAGATCCAAGTAGATATCTAACACCTAGGACTTACTGTCAAAACCAACCGCTGCTCCTCCTCCCAGCCTCCCATCTCCCTCTGTCCAACTGGTCAGCATGGAGAGAAAAAACTCTGCCTCCACTATTTCTCTACCTTCCACACCCAACCCTTTTGGCAGACCCATCAGCTCTGCCTGCAAGAGGCACCCGGAAGCCAGCCTCCTCTGGCAGCCTGCACGCCCCTGTCCCATTCTGGTCCATAGGCATCTCCTTCTCACCCAGAGGGTGGGAGCAGCCCCTCACCATCTCCCTGCTTCACCCTGACCCAGAGTCCACTCTCAACATGTAGCAAGGGGGACCCCTTACAGGGAAGTCAGGTTGCTTCATGCCCCACTCCACACAGAAGCCACATTCCTCCGTGGCCAGGTCCCAGACACCCCTCATGCTGACCCCTAACCCATCTCCTACTCCTCTCTCCTGGGCTCCTGTCAGTCTCAGCCTCCTTACCGTCCCTCCTTAACCCGGCCGCCCCTCCCTATATATATACATCTGCTTCGCTCACCCCACTTTTATGTCTCTGTTCAAATGTCACCCTCCTGGTGACAGCCTCTCTGACAACACCCTCCTCTAGCAACCCAAGCTGGTCATCAGTTTATTACCTAAAATAAACGATATTACATGCTTACTCACGTTACTTATGGTTTATAGCTCCTCTCCTCTTACTAAGTGTGAGTCCATCATAGCAGGGCTTCAGTCTGTATTCCCAAAGTGCAAAGGAGTGTTCAGTAAGCGTCCAGTGAATGTTCATGGGGAATGAGTTCATTCACACAGGGAGGGGAACAGGGAGGCTAGCAGCGAAAAGATTATTTTGAATTTTAGTAATTAAGAAATTTCTGTAATTCAGAAATTGCTGTTAACTCATTTACCATCTATATATAGAAAAGCCTAAGCGACCATTATGACTGGTTGACTGGTTGCTATAACGTTCACTGACCACCAGGGGGCAGAAGCTCAATGAAGGAACTACCCCCCCCCCCCCCCCCCCCCCGGTGGTCAATGCATTCTCACAGCCAACCTCCTCAGGCCGGCCAGCCTCCCGTGGTCCCTTCACCTGGACTGGACTAGACAGCCCCGATCACCAACCAGGCTGAGGGACCCCACCTGTGCAGGATTTCGTGCACCAGGCCTCTAGTTTAAAATAAGAGGATCAACTCAGTGGATAGAGCATCGGCCTGCAGACTTAAGGGTCCCAGGTTCAATTCTAGTCAAGGACATGTTGTTGCGGCATATCCCCAGTAGGGGGTGTGCAGGAGGCAGCTGATCAATGTTTCTCTCTCATCTTTGTTTCTAACTCTCTATCCCTCTCCCTTCCTCTCTGTAAAAAAAAAATCAATAAAAATATATTTTAAAAAGAAATAAATAAAATAAGAAGATCAACTTAGGACTTATATGTTTATGATTTTCATTATATGGAATTAAAATCTAACATAGAATTTTATTTTAATGAGTCTCCTAATCTTTCCATTCAACTGGATAACTGGATTTTGGAGGTGGTTGGGATGAGAAATTAAACATGAAATTAAATATAATACATCTACCCCAAATGCTAAGAACCCCATGTTTTCCAAAGCAGTCTTTATTGAATGAAAAAAGACTGAGGAAATATACCTAAATGTTCATATTTGGCTGACCCATAAAAAATTGCTGACATTTGCCGAAACCGATCTGCAGACTGAAAGGTCCCAGGTTCGATTCCGGT